TGTGAACATTGGCGGTCTCCTTGTGATAAATTTACAAACTATCACATCTCCTCCATTAWCAACTGAAAGTAAACATCCACACTAACAACAGTGCTGTCTGAGTGGGAGGGCTTATCAGGATTTATCCTCCAACTGTTCTCTTTTAGGTACAGAAAAAGACCATCTCAAATTACAAAAGTGAGAGCTGACTTCTCACATCTTTTTGAAGAATAGTGGAGCCTTAACCTCTTAAGAATACCCCCAATATTCCTAAAACACCGTAAAGTGGAGTTTTACAGTATGTATTTTGCAGGCACATTGTTTAAATCTAGACCAACTATGTTACTTTCAGTTGTGAAAAATCTGAATCAAAAATACATTTGACTYGGCATCATAGCCTTTCTAAACTCTTTGAAATTGGCCTCTGTCTCTTTAAGAAMCTCCTACCGTTTCCAACATTCCCACTTCAGCACATCTTCACAACAATRCTTTGGGGGAGGGGTGCTCTGTGGGGCAGGTGCTCAGCTACAGACTGAGCTCCAGGGAGGAGCTTTGGATAAATAGGTGGTGCTTTCTACCACCAAGTGTTTAGGCAACTCCACATGGCTCCACATATTCAAGGATTTCTCAAACCTGTATGGATGAGTCAAAGCAACACTGTGAGWATGTTTTTGATGAGGAAATGACATTATAACATGATATAAGGCTMAAAAAARGTTGATTTTTATAATACCCCCACCCTTCCTTTAAGAAAAGCATACTMAAATTAAATGCTATTTTTGAACCCTTTGGAGTAAATTCAAAAGCTTGATATCTGTGTAAAGACAACCTGAATATGAACACATTTCACAAAATCCACATTGGTTGTGGAGCAGGAACTTTGTGTTGTTCTCTTGCTGTTTGATAAGTTTCAGAGGAACTGTCCCCTAAAAATTGTATTAGGATTAATGTTTTAGACCAGCGGTCATCCAAATTCAGTCTAAAAACATTTTCAATAATTCAATGGGTGGATGTTACAGTCAAATAAATCAATTCTAATTTTCTGCTTTTGTACCCAGGACCAGGTACATACAGTGTATGGCACTTACCTTTCTGTAGAGTCTCAGGTACAAACACTGAACAGCTGGACAGATGTTTCCTTCATAATATTCAGTATCTGTCTCTGCCACGTGAAGGTAATCATCATGTGAAGTCTTGAAATGACTGTGAGGAGTAATGAAGCTGCAGCCAGCGTCAAAGAGCTCGGCTCGGGCTGCTAAATTGACTTCCCGTGGGGTGGTGGGGTTACTTTTAAAACACTTAACTCCAGCGTACAGTACACAACTGCATTTCCTTCCTGTTTCTCCCTGCAGCTTGTCTCCTCACTGTCATGACAACCATTTCAGACCAGCAGGAGTAAACGCTGTGAAAATAACTCATTTCTTTTCACTTGATTTCCATGTTTACACTGAAAGGTGGTGGTTTTAAACTATTGGTGTGCCTTCATTAACGTGACGCATTATGAGCTACAGATTAGTCATGAAAGGAAACCTTTTAGCATTTATTGTGTTTCTGCTGTGTACCAGTCCTCTTATTGTCTTTATTTATAATAAAATACACATACACTGTATAGACTTTCTAATTAACCTTTTAGAATTCCAGCAGAACCTGCGAGGTCTAAAGACTCCTGAGGAACCCTAAACGCTAACAAGCATTCCCAGAATGATGACCGCTTTTTGTTCCCAAACCTTAAACTGAAACCATTTGATGTTAAGAAAGGATGGCATTAAAAAAAACTAACATTATGTCAAATCTCACTTGACATACAGATATCTACGTGATCTGTTTTGGAGGATGTGGTGGTGATGAATCAGTTATGATTAGGACCTATGTTAGAGACTGAAAGATCCAGATTTCAGATCCAGAAGGTCCAAATGAGTTTTCTCTGCAGGGTAGGTGGACTGTCTCTGTAGTCTGAGACGTTCAGGAGAGACTCATAGTAGAGCTGGAACCAGGAACCAGCTGAGGGGGTTTATCTGGTAAGGAGGACCCCTGGACACCTCCCTATAATGAGATGTTCTGGACATGTCCAACTGGGAGGAGACCCTGTGGAAGACCCAGGACACTCTGGAGAGACTATGTCTCTCAGCTGATCTGGGAGCACATTAGAGTCCTCCCAGAAGAGCTGGAAGATGGATGGATGGATGGATGGATGGATGGATGGATGGATGGATGGATGGATGGATGGATGGATGGATGGATGGATGGATGGATGGATGGATGGATGGATGGATGGATGGATGGATGGAAAACTTAATTGTAGGTATTTTTGAGTTTCTGTCCAATTATCTGTTGTGGCCATTTTGAATTGGGTTAATTTGTCCACTGGTTGATGAGATATTTTGCTAACAGACAGTCAAAAACACTATTGGCCTCTTTTCATGTGCAGGTTAAAATGAAACAGTCTGATTTTTGGTGCTCATTTACCCTGAAGTTTGATCATCAGGCATGTTTCTCTTCATTATCCTTTAATCAAGTGTTTTTTTCAGATTAGTTGTTTAAAGCAGCTCAGAAACTCTCTGACATTTCATATTTGTTATTTTTAACCACAGTCTGCCGGTGACCTCACAGACTGTTGTTGAGAAAATGATGAGCTGACACTGAGGGCACAAAGTGGTTAGAAATTGCCTGAGAAAGCTTTTCGCATTTCTCCTCATTGTTTGTCACAGATTTTTGGGTTCCACGTTCAGCTTCACCATGCAGAGTGATGCRGGTTCAGAGTTCACTAAAAGACTGTGTAGAAATTCTTCTCTTCGGTTTGGAAAGTTTTCCCAGAGAGACAAAAATGCCTACACATACAAATAAATAATCATGGACTTATATAAGAATGTATCAGCATAATACATTCACTTCTGTCTCTAATTGACAGTGATGTCAATCTGTTGAAAAATATTTTCTCTAACAAATCTCTGCTCTTAAAAATAGCATCTGAAAGCCAAAACATCAACTCAATAATGAAATTAACCTGTAATCAAATCTTAACTTCTTAAAATTCACTTTGTCCCCACAGAGATCAAAGACACATCAAACTTTAGCTCAACAACTGTAACAAGAACTTGGTTACTGTCATTTTGGCATTTTTTAAATGTCAAATAACTGTATACTGGCCATCTTGAATTAGGTAAAGATTTTGCTTTGTTAAACTTTCACAGAGGAACATTTATACTTTAGACTTTAATGGTTTCATCTTCATAATCACCTGTAGCTGAGAGCACTGGCTTTATGACAAGTTTACTGATTGGAAGCAGAAATCTGAGCTGCATCTGAACACAGCGTTTCTGATTATAAACTCAACAGAGGAGATAAAATCTGCAATTATTCTCCTCCCTTCTTCACACTGCAGCTGAATCAGTAGATGGTGTGGTCTAACCATGAATTACTGCAGGTAAATGTGGGTGCTCTCTCTCACCACAGCTAGAATCAGCTCCGCATCCTGGTGGAAGTGAAATATTTTGTGCAGAGAGCTTCTGCTGAGCTCTGTGGTAATTCAAAGTAACACAGCAGCGTGAAAACAGCATAGCAGTCCTTTAATTTACTCCAAGTGGAAGAGAGGTCTCATCACTAAAGAAGGTCTTTGGTTCCTTGGTGCTGGAAAAAAAAAAAGCGCAAAGTACTTTCTGCAGGTTTGTGAAGCCAGCAGCCCCTTCTCAAGGTGAAAACACACAGGAAGAGTGGGAAGGAGGGGGGAGCAAGGTCGAGGAAATGGGATGAATATGATGTAGTGAGGYTTTTGTAAGGAGGAGAAGCAAAGATGGAGTGCCTGAAGCTAAAACGACTGCAGTGGAAGCTGTCAATAAGTTAGAGAGACGAGTTCTGAGACAAACACTTCCTCCTCCCAAAAACAAAAAAAGAGGGCACGGAGGGTGAGTAAAAGAGAGTTTCAAGTGACGCGAGGAAAGAAACGAGATGGTGTGGGAGACTTAAAAACAAGACAAAAACAAGGCAGAGGAGAGGCGGGGGAGGGGAGCAGCGAGACGTATGAAGATGGATCAAGCCTCCGCTGAAGTAGAGATGGGGAGAGAGTGATTGAGGGCACGAGGAGAGAGGAGGAGTGGGAAAGCAGCTGTGATGAGATGGCTTCTACTGGACCATGAGATTGATGACACCGCCTCAGAAAGAGAAGGAAGAGAGAGCGCAATAAGAGAAAAGTCTTGATGAAAAGAAGCGTCGCGTGATGAAAGAATGAGTCGCTCTTATCGTTACACCCCTATCTCCAAACGCAGCACCGCAGGCCTCTCCACTCATTTCACTATCTCAAATCGGATCTTTTTGAGCGTTTTATCAGCCGTCGAGCTCAATCAGAAAGAACATACAGAGCCGCTGTCACATCAGAGGAGATTACAGCATATCTGGAGCAAATAAAAGTCTGTTCAGAGAGACGCATTTAATTTACTCTGGCTTCAGACGCCGAAGCTGTTCATCCGTCACAGCCTCTGAGTCCTGTAAAAGTACAATAAATTATTTTATTTTCCTGTTCAATTTGGCTCCAAGTTAAGAAGTGATTCTGAAAGTTTCTCAGCTCAGTCGTACGTTTAGGGTCTGGAGAGGAAGTGGATATTTTTCTTTTCCCCTGAGACCATTTCACCTCCTCCTCCTCATCATCTCAGGCTCTGATTTTCCAGCCACCGCCTGGTCCAGGAGGGATAAGAAAGAGATAAACTGCATTTACAAAGAGAGAGTGGTCAGAGGAAGATGGAGCCAGAGCCGGAGCGGGCCCCTGTGTCTTCAGACTGAAGCGCTCTCATTACAGTCGGTGAAAGAATGATGGGCTGCARCTCCGGCTCTGCTCAGCCGCTGATCTTATAGGCTGTAATGAAAAAGGGAATAAAAAAGCGTTGTTAAATATGTCACGCGCCTTGCAGATATAAACGCCTCCTAAAGAATATAAAATCCAGCCTGTTCTGCGTTACATTCAGTCAACGCGCTCGTCTCGATGCTCTTTCATTATGTGCTCATGATTTGTCTGTTTTTTTTTTCTGCAGATGCCATCAAGGAAAACTGAAAGCCTCTCCACGAGCTGCAATGAAACCTCGTAAGGCCGCAAACATGATAAGGGATCTCCCCAGTGCTTCTTTTCAATCAAAGCACCGACACTAGACGGTGGGGGAGTCTATTATCTGAAATTAATGTCAACAGCGTTGCGAAGGCGGCCTCAAGCTGCGCCTCCGGATCCGACGCACCCCATGGAGGAGGGGCCTGGATGTTTCCGACGCTGGTAACGCCGGCCGATTGAACAGCAATGCCTTCGAAGGTCTCCTGCTTGTACCTGCTGACGGTGGTATGCTGGGCCAGTGCTCTGTGGTACCTGAGTGTGTCCCGCCCCTCCTCGTCGTTCATAGGCCAGATGTCCATCCCGATACGCAAGGCGCCAAAAGCAGTGAAGAACTCCACGCTCAGCAACGTCCGCACGCGCTCCCTCAACCCTCATGACTTCAGCTACCTCGTCAACGAAGCCAAGAAGTGCGAGGCTGAGCCCCCGTTCCTCGTCATCTTGATCAGCACCACCCACAAGGAGTTTGATGCCCGTCAGGCCATTAGGGAGACGTGGGGGGACGAGACCACGTTCCCGGATGTCCGCGTGGTCACTCTGTTTCTGTTGGGCCGGAGCACAGACGCCGTCCTCAACCAGATGGTTGAACAGGAGAGTCAGATCTTCCACGACATCGTGGTGGAGGATTTTATCGACTCGTACCACAACCTGACCCTTAAGACCATGATGGGCATGCGCTGGGTGGCCACGTTCTGCTCAAAGTCTCAGTATGTTCTCAAGACGGACAGTGACATCTTTGTCAACATGGAGAACCTAATCTACAGCCTCCTGAAGCCCACCACCAAACCCAGGAGGAGATATTTCACAGGCTACGTCATCAACGGCGGGCCGATCAGAGACATGCGGAGCAAGTGGTACATGCCCCGGGATCTCTACCCCGACAGCAAGTACCCACCCTTCTGCTCTGGTACCGGCTACGTCTTCTCAGCAGACGTGGCTGAGCTCATATACAAAACATCCCTTCACACCAGGCTGCTGCACCTGGAGGACGTGTACGTGGGCGTGTGCCTCCGCAAGCTAGGCATCCACCCCTTTCAGAACAGCGGTTTCAACCACTGGAAGATGGCCTACAGCCTCTGCCGCTACCGCCGAGTGGTCACTGTCCACCAGATCTCCCCAGAGGAGATGCATCGCATCTGGAACGACATGACCAGCAAAAAACACCTCAAATGTTAGCAGGACTGGAAGCAGTTTTTGCCAGTTGGAGAATTAAAAAGGAATGAACTGACTTTGTATTCTTCCTCTCCTTCACGGTTAGGAACAGTAAAGCAAGGACCAGTTCTGGACTCAGGGCTTTATAGAGTCGGGAACATCTCTTGTGAAAGACCAAAGCAAATTCCTCATTATTATCACGGTTGTTCCACCTTCAAGGTGGTTTAGTTCTAACACTGCTGACACACCGAGAAAGTAGACACAAAGTTTCAAACATGTTTCCCACGAATGTGCAGCTGCCTCAGGTGGCTGCCCGTCGTGTTTGGTACATACATTTACAAAAAGGAAAAGTTGACTCTTGTGTTGAACTCCTCATTTATAGACCAGACATGACTTGTTAACACACTCAGATTATGAATGTTGATATAAATGTTGTATTTTATGAAGGAGGTGTTGATGTTGACGAGATGGCCCAGCAGCTGTCTTTGTGAGGATCATGGTGAGTTTAGAAAGTGATGACTCGATGTTGTTCTCACTGTGAAAAAGCATCATAAGTACCCAAGAGGGTTATTTTCCAGTTAAAAAGGCAACCAGACTTTCAATTTTTGAAGACATTTGTCTGAGGAGCTTTCTCATCTTAATCTTTACCCTGTTTCACCTTTGTTTCTGTGAGCTGAACTCACAGATCAACCCCAGCTGCACCTCCCTCATGAAGGTCCTTAAAGGGATCTCCATCTATTTCTARCATTACACTTGATAAACATTTATTTCAACCATATTAAGAAGACTGTAAAAATACTGTGTTTAGTTTTTTAAAATAAAAAATACATATTGTCACACGGCCATCGCCATGTTAGTTACACTGCAAAGCTGTCTGGGTAAATTATGTATATTGACTGCTCTGTTGTTCGCTCTATCCAGCTAGAACATTAATTTGGACAATACCTGACATTTTAAATGAAACTGGTGTGCAATGACCGAGACAAGAATGTAAAAATGACTCAACCTCAAAATGAAAATGATGATGGAGGACAATAGAACTGCTTCATTTGTCCCATATCTAATATATATTCATATATGGTGTTAGCTCCAGATMTAATAAATACAGCATTAGCTCCTGAGATAATAGGCACAGTACACAACGTTAGATCTGGAGCTAATAGTAAAACTGATATTAAGGTGTAAGGATGGAGATGAAGATGTGGCTGCTGTGTAGTAAGTATTCACTCCGAACAAATCGGAGGACATTTTTCAGTCTTTGTTCTTTTCCATTACCTGAGATTAAATTACAAAAATAAATAAATATAGCATTATCTCCAGTGCTAATAAATATAGCGTTAGCTCATGGGGTTATTCCCTAACATCGCGTAACATTTCGTTTCAACACATACGTATTGTGCAAAACGCAACCACATTTACAAAATATGACTTTGACATTACAGCTTTTTAGYTGATTCTTTGTGTATTAGTGTCAATTTCAACCAATCCTCATCATCATCCCCAGAATGCATTGCACCAGTAAAAGAATGGAGACATGCTCAGGTAAAGTAATTATGAGTTTTCAAAAACTTTTAGTGGAATAGTGAAAATGTTCAAGTAGTCGGAGATCCCTTTAAGGAAGTGTCTCACTGGGTTACTTCTGTTGGAGWCATGAGGGAAAAAAACAACTTTGTGACCAAAGTTAGTCAGGAGTTTAAAAAATGCATCACCAAATAAACAAGTTTACAATGTACAGTATAATTATAGATTGTGGCTTTGTGCAACATTCCCACAAACGACTTTCATCTAAAAACTGTATTATGACCCAATCCACACATATCTTGTTTTAAACTATATATATATATATATAAAACTTTTTACTACCATTGTTAACATTACGTCAGAGCCTGGCACGAGGAAGCTCCTCAGATAAAAAAAAAAAAACACATCATCTTCAACTGACAACTACAAAAGCCCTGTTTCTTTTGTAAACTTTTGAGTCTACACCAACATATCAGGAGTAACAAAGACAGGACAGCATATTTTCTTACAACAGATCAAAACTCTTTGTACAGAAAAAAATCTAAATTGATATTAAAGGTTTAAGGATGAAGATGAAGACGTGGCTGCTGTGTATTAAGTATTCRCTCAGAACAAATCTGACATTTTTCGGTCTTTGTTCTTTTCCATTACTTGAGAAGAAATAAAATACTTCTTTTATAAGATGTGATGTTGTATGTATTTTAATGTGGTGATTCTKAACTTTTGGGCTGCTTGCCATTTTAAGGTGTCAAAAGAAAGATCTGTTCTTCAACTAATGGCCACGAGGGCTGTGGGATGTTATTGGGTGTCAATAGACTGAGTTGCAGTACACATTTTGACCACTAGTAGCAGTAGTGTTCCACTCAGACATCCATCATTGCCACCAGCAAATGTTGGTAAGTAYATACAGTAAATGTTTGTCATAATCATGTCTTATGATTTATTTGAAAAGTTTGTTGCTTTTTAAATTGTAAAGGCATTTCATTTAGTTAACATAATACACTACCGCAAATACAATACGAATGAAACCAAGTTTTAGATCAATTATCATTTTGATCATTGTTAGTAGCCGCGTTTTCATTGACCATGAAAATGCGCAAATTAGAATTTCGAAAATAAATTTGCTCAATGGAAACACGTAAATTTAGAAAAAAATAGGTTTTTCGACAAAATGTTTTTTGCACTAGGAAGGTGTTTTTTTGGCCATATCAAAATTGATGTATTTCGCAAAACTACAATGGAAACACTTTTTTCGCATCATGAGAGTCACGTGATCAAGAACCGGCTGTTTCTACTGGCGAAAAGACGACGAAGAAAACAATAGGAAGTAAAAGTAGTAGTGAAATCACCAAARTAGTAAAAGAAAGGATTAAACTCACTGACTATTTTCCCAAAAACACAGCATAAGTATAGCCATTCCCAAGTATAAGGAGCTTGTCACTCGAAAGCCTCGATCAGACGCCAATGTTTCCTCTGATGGCTGATGATGAGCGCTAGTGTCGTGGTAGCAATATGCCATGTGTTTACATCCATTGCCGCCATGTTTGTAATGAATTATCGCAAGAACAAGCATATTCATGCGTGACTTTAATAGTGTTTCTTACTTAATGGAAACACTGCAATTGCGAAACTGTGTTTTTCGACATTAACAGAATATCGACAAAGTTTTGYTCACATTTGCAATGGAARCGCAGCAAGWGTCTGAACTGGCTTAATGCCACTATAGGTTCAACAAGTTGGGGCCCAAGGTGGAAAAGGTTAAGAACCCCTGTTTTGTTGCACACAACCAGGAAGTGAATACATATGTGCTCGTCAGGCTTTTAGAGGAGGAGCTGTTGGAGTGGAAGCAACTGTGCTCATCATAGACCGGCAGAACTTTCCTACGTCTGGAAACATTCCCGCTCACTGTGCACATGCTGGTGCACATGGACGAAGGGAAAGGCTCGTCGATGTGTTGTTAAATTAGATGTAACGTCTCTGTCGTTCAGCCTTGGTGTGTTTACCAGAAGAGTGAATGAAGCAATGAATTAATTAAAATATGTCATCTTTGTTTTTTGTGGGGTTTTTTTTTTTGTAATTCTCAGAGGTTCCAGAACCATCTGTTTATTTTATGAAGAGCATCAACAACAGAAATGAGCTCATTTTATCTGAATAAAACAGACAGTCCTGTACAACCAGAGAATGACAAAAAGCAGCAGAAGCAAATGTTTTTTTTCTTTAAAGTCCCCAGTTTTCACTAATGTTACTAACTTTAAACACTCAGGAAAGGCCCAGCTGATGATGTTATGGCTTTGTAAGCTTTTTATTGGTTAGCTGGCAACATTTAGACTGAGCATGTCCGATCCTGTTCCTGGAGGACTACTATCCTGCATGTCTTTCTTTGCATCGGAAGGTTCTCGAGRTCTGCCAAAGTTTGTTAATCACTCATTCATTCAAATCAGGTGGGTCAAAGCAGAAAAAACATCTAAAAYAAGGATGGTGGTCCTGTAGGGCCATGATTAGACACACCTGGTCTAAAATATTAAGGTTGGTGGTCCTATAGGACCAGTCTTTGACATCACTGGTCTAAAACCTGTTGGATGGTGGTCCTCCAGGATCAGGATCGGACAACCCTTTGGTCTAAAACCTGTAGGATTCTGTTGTAGATTTGCTGGTGAGTTTGTGATCATTGTCCTCTATYTGACTGAGTTTGGTTAAAGTTTTAACTGCTGGACAGATGGTCTCACATCCGAGTTTCTAGAGAGTAGTTCACGATTGACTCATATCCACCTCTGTGTTTGATTGTTACATCGTGAAAAACAAGACAAGGTGGTTGATGAACAARTAATATCTGCATCTAAATCTAAATTATTTTTAAATTGTTGTATGTACAGATGATGTGTTTTTAGTTTACCAGCTCATGAAAAAATACAGTTTCTTCTAAACACTGTAAAATCTGAACTCAGCAGCAACTTTACAGCCAATGGTATTGACCCAAAGAGCGGGCTGGAAATGAACAGAGAGATGTTTGGTAAGTGGTCACGTGTTGGTGATGAAACAGTTCCAGAGGCCCCMGTGTGTCACCACTGGTGTTCAGGATATTGAAGGTAATTATCTGAAATCATTAGAGTCTGGCAGCTCTTTTTCACTTAAACTGATGCGGTCTACAGAGCAGAAAAAACCCTGGTGGATGTSAGCGTTTGGACAAACCAGCGTCTCGCACCATGACTAAAAGCAGCCTGAAACCACCCACAGGTGWTGTGTTGAGTTTGTGAACTTTTTGTTTCAGGCGTATTTTATCATAGCAGGAGGCGGCAGCAGCCCTGTGGGACCTGATCTAGGAGAAATGAGAACTAACGTCTAACGTGCGCTTGGGAAGGCAAACAGGAAACTGTGGGAAGCGACGAGGCGTAAAAAACCATTTGGGATTCGCTCGGCATCAAACGCGCCGTGACTGTYATAATTTCCCCGTAATAGAACTATTCCCAGCTGGCTTGTTTGTGTCAAATACTCCTTTTTTGATCACTTTGTTGAGCAGTTTGGAAACCAGAGACTAGAAYTGGAAGAGTTTGGTTCTAGTGGATGAGTTTGTGACGCTCTAAAGAAAATAAAAATGCAGTTCCTCCAGCAGCTGTTATCAGTTAATAACTTTATTTTCTTCCAGAAGACGTTGCAGGCATTCTGCCCGATCTTATACGTGTGGAATCATTGGTATTCACAGCTTCTCCGGCTCAGCRTTGTGTTTTGCATTTCTCTGATCGCCCCCTATGGCACATGTATTTGGCTACAAAATGCTGAGTCATGCTCAGCACTGTAAACAGGCTGAGCGCCCCAGCGGCAGAGCGTTTAAAAACAGCTAAAGCTTGAGCAAAATGAGAATCGAGGTGATTATGGTGGGGCTTGTGGTAAACGGAGCCATTAACGATGCAGGCGGAGACAACTGGGAACGCTRMGATTTCCAAACAAAGGATTCGAGGTCGAGACCGTGAAGTCCAGGATCAGAGAAGACTTCAGTTCTTTGTTCTGGTCTCGTTAGTTGCTTCAAAAACTGCAGGCAAACTTCTCAATGCRGATTAACCCTCTGCAGAGAGGCTTTTATTAAAAAGCTTTGTGTATTTTTTTTGTTTTGTTTTTTGTTGTTTTTTTCTTTCGCTCTGAATGCCCTCACATGACCTCCATGTCTCTCGTCCCCCTGGGCACCGAGGATGTGTTTATGAGGAAATAGGTGTGGAATAAATAAGAAGTAGTTTGCCATCTGTGCGCTCACATTTCTGTCAAGGTGAAAGAAAATGGTTTGATAAGGGCAGCTGGGGTTTTGTTGTTTAGTCCTTTGCCTCCTCCATGAGACAGAGTCCTGACAGCCTCACAGCCTTCCCCAAATCTTTATGACCACATGAGTTTGGATGTGGCCCACTGTCAGGCTTTGGACACCCGCCCCCTCCCACCCAGTGGCAAGAAAGATTGGAGTGTTTTGGAGCTTTATTGTTGGAGGTTGGCCTTTTTCTCTCAAAGAATTAAGTATTTAGTAAACTAGAACATTTCTAAACCGAATCGCAATTTGGGACTTCAACTTCATTTAGTAATAATCTAAGATAATATTTTGATGTATGAATTGACACTGCGCCTGGACTTGCATCACGGTCCGGTAACCAGTACGGTAACACGACTTTTACAACAAACAGTTGAGTAAAAGGTTTTCATGCAGAGTTAGATTTTTACTTATTTATTCTTGGATTAGCATGCAGATTTGCTAATGCTAGTTTGTAAACATGCTGAAGTTACACTGTGGCATGACGGGGTTAGCTTGCAGTCATACTAGGGTTAACTTGTAGATGTGAGACTGCTTGTAGGTTTACAATGGACAGCTCGTAGGCATGCTAGTGTTAGCTTGTAAGCTTGCTAGGGTTTGATTGTAGGTATTTTTAGTGTTAGCTTGCTATGTACCATGGTTAGCTTGTTGGTGTGCTAGTGTTAGCTTGTATGCATGCAAGGGTTAGCTTGTAGGTTTATTATGGTTAGCTTGTAGACATGCTAGTGTTAGCTTGTAGCTAGCTACCTGCCAAAGAGGAGGGAGACATTAGGAGGAGCTGCTCCATGGGCATCTCACAGCTGCAGGAGTGACATTAACGTAACCACATGTTGGCTGCAAAGCACAAATTCTAAGCTTTCAGGAACCGTCAGAATTTTTCTGATAGCACAAGCTTTCACAGAGTTACAGTAAAGCAAAGCGGGAGCTTGTATCTGTGACAGACTTGTAAAATGGATTCACGTTTATCTGTTGCAGTTCAGGTTTATTCATCGTTCCAGCCATCAACCATAGGTTATTAGAACTGAAAATCTTTGTGTAGAGCAGAATGTGAATGGCAGGGGAGGGATTTGCTTGTTTGTATCTGTGCGTGTTTTTTGGTGATGGGGGCCAGTGTGTGTGTGTGTGTGTGTGTGTGTGTGTGTGTGTGTGTGTGTGTGTGTGTGTGTGTGTGTGT